AAGCAGGTAGAGCACCCTCCACCAGAAAGGTTGCAGTGTGCTTGCCTGACAATGCCATCCTAATCACTTAATATCGACATTTCCTGTATATGTAATATACAAGGAACTGGAGAGATGGCACTGTCACGCAAGCGCTGTGCCCCTTTAACATTAATATTGCATGCATACTGTACATTATTTTCTTATTATTTGTTTGTTCTCAAAAAATGTTGAAATGATTGTGGACTTAGCTAAATGCAAACTCTTGTGATCTCCAGTCTACTTGACAGCATATTGTTTAATTGTAACAGTGGAATTAGGTCTCATTTGGCTGGGCTGTATTCATTATAGAATTCTTGCTGGTTCTTTTCCACATGAGCACTAAATGTCTCTCCACGCTGCCGGCTCATGACTTCTCCACTGCTCCACTGCCTTAGTGCACAGTGCTGGTGCCTGGAGCTAGGGACATTGTACAGGCGATGCAGGAGTTTCATTCAATCACAAAGATATATATTTTTAGGACACCTTAAGAAAGACTGACAACCAGGGGGCTAATGTATTGCCTATTTGCAATAATGAATTATTTTAATGAAGCTTTTGAAGCGGGGATTGCTGTGCGTTGGTGGCGGGGCGGTGTTCAGAATGGTCTTTTCCTCTAGCGCTGGCTTTGCCTCATTATCAGGCCAGACCCTCAGGCCGCAAACTGGCCTGCTTAAGCCTCCAATGATGACGATAATTACCGTTATTAGGAGTAGCTGCGGGGGGAACTTGTTCTGAAAAATACCAAGCTGAGTTCTTCTTGCCTGGGCTTTCTTTGCCACTGCCGCAAGAGAGAAGTCGCCAGTGGAGAGAGGAGAGAGAGGGAGGAGAGAGAGGGAGGAGAGGGAGGGGACGAGGGGAGCGGCCACCAAATCCGCCTAATGTGAAGCCTGTCAGCTCGTCTCCCACCAGCTGTCACCGCCCAAATGCACCCGGGTTCATTTTTTTAATTGACACCTCGCTTTCCTATTCCATTTCTATTTTTCGCCTTTCATTCTGCCTCCATCACTCTCCTCTCTGCTGGCTGAGCGGTCCACGTCACCCCCCTGTCCCTCCTGTGCTTCTTTGGTGTTTTTCCTTGTCCTTGGTGTACCCCCCTCTCCCTACAACACAGGTGCGCTCGTCCTCACGTGATATTTGGCTGATAAAACATAAAGCTGTTTTGGTGCAGTTTTATGGCTCTGCCCTTGTGTGCTGGGGCTGTACAGGGCCCATTATCCGCTGATGGAAGGAAACGTTTTGGGACACACAAAGTTTCCCCTGAGTTCAGATTCACGCAACAAATCAGGCTTTCTGCTGTCAGCTTGTTGCCTCTTATGGCCTTTTTAATTGTGCAAAGAAAAAACTAATACTATTATAATATTCTAATAAATTGATTCTGTAAAGTGTAAAAACATTGGTATATATGTTGTTTATATATCTAAGCAAGCAGTGCTGCCTGTATTGCGTTGATATATTAATGTAATCTTTTATGTTATTAACTAATTTGTGTATAAAAACATTAGTAGAATGGTTTTATAATTCCTCTTGTAGGTGCTTTTCTTTGTAGTGATGTGAGACTACACCAATATATTTTATAGTGCTGGTTTTATTGTGAGCTGTGATTAGCAATATCATAATGATGTCATTACAGTCCAAACTCCATTCAGCAGAAATGGCCACCTAAATTAAATAAGCATAATGCTGCTTGAGCATTGTTGGTAATGGTTATGGCTTTAGCTCTGCTGTTTGGGTCCTGAGCTGAGGCTGGTCTCACATGCAGATGAGTGCTGGGTGCCAGGCCTGTGAAGGCGCTGCTGGGAGGCGCTTGTATTAGTGATACTTGTCATGTCTGCTGTAAATCACACTGCTTTTTTCAGGTTCTAGGTTGTTGTTGTTTTGTGGGAGAATGCTGCGTGGCAGGGATGAATGGTGGTGATGTTACATTATCATGTGGCTGTCGCTTTCACTCGCGCTGACTGCTCCCTGACAGGCCCCCCAAACACACACACACACTCACACACACACATACTGCTGTCGGAGCGGCCCTGATTTATTAACTGCTGAAATCCTAGATGACGTGTGCCCACACAATCAATAGGGAGTGCAGCCGCTGCCTGGCCCTCTCAGGGGTCATGTGATGTGGACGCTAGCGACAGGAAGGACACACCACCGGGCTAGTGCTACTGCTGCTGCTGCACTGTGGATTGCATTACTGTATTGATGGGAAATGGATCCAGTCCAGCTCAGGCTGCGAGCTGCCAGTCAGAGGCAGGAGGGCTAAACTTTCATCATGGCTGTCAGGGATATCACCGCTGCCTTGTTTGTCCGTAAATCTTCCTAATTGTGACAGAATACTTCAACATCATTAATTAAACATGTTTTCATTTAAAGCACTCACAGGGCACCAGGCTGGGAGCTGGGGTAGTCTGCCAATGCGTGTTATGTGCCTATGCGCGCACACGCCTGGCTGCTTGCATTGTGTGTGCGTGCGTGTGTGCTCTTTGATTCCTCTTCGATGAGTGGGTGGCTTAATCGTCATGTTTATTTACACTCCTGTTGTCTGCAAACAGCAGGCGGCGGCTATGGGCATCAGCGGGCCCTTAAGGAAGCATCGCACAAAATTAATCTCCCCAATAAGCAAACAAAAGCATGTTCTTCGATTCCCATTCATTATTAAAGCTCCAGAAATTTTATTCATTTATTCTAGCCTTTTTGGACCACGTCTTGGTGATGGAATTATACAAGAACATGCACAAAGAGGCAAGAAGGAAGGAAGGATGGAGGAGGGAGGAAGCGACAAAGGGGGGAGAAGCGTCCTCTCATTGTTCAATTAAGTCTGTCAGTAATGATCAAGATGAGATGATGGCCGTCTTCCTTTTATAGATACTTATCTGTGAGCGTCTGTAAGGGAAGCCCGCCTGAACTCAAATGTTGCAACAATAGAACAGAGAAAGTGTGTTTTATCAAAGCTGGTGTTATGCTAGTGTGGGGAGATGAATAGTAATCGGAGGCACTTTGGGCTGTCAGGTGATTATGATAATGCATAGTCTTTGGTTGCAGAGTTCACAATGAGCGGTCGGACTGGCATTGAAGGTCCAATCGATTTCATTGCTATTACCGAACGCAAATAAATAAAGGCTGATGGCCACGGTTCGGGGTAATTATGCCACCAGTGAACTGAATTGTTAGATTTTCCTTATTAATTGTATTTATTTAATCCATTTCATGCTTTTAGTTGTGCACTCGGGGACTTGCCGCTAGATGAATAAATCAAGCTCGGGCTCATTAGACTTCTCCCTGTAGTTGGAACGTGCCACTATTTTGTCAGAATCATATTATCATTTTTCACTGGTGAAAGATAGATTCTTCCATGGTGCTGGGTGTAGTGTAGACGCCCATGCCCTCTAAATCCCTAACCCCCACCCGCTCCTCCTCCACCCCCCACGTGAACTCCTGACCTTTTCCAACCGTCTGATAGCCATTGACATTTGCCTCTCTTGAGCTGCGCTTGCTCACGTGTTGGGGTGGGTGGGTGGCTGGGGGGTGATGGGAATGGATGATGTTATTGCTGGAGGAGAGGAAGAAGAAGGAGGCAGAATAGAATGGAAAGGGAAAAAAAATATGGTGGACTATACAAGAATCCACCTGGACCTCAGCGGAAAGGTCGTGAGCTGGTGCGACCTTACATGGTCATCACGTATAAATTGTTGTCATAGTTACATATTTACATGGCACAATTGCATTAAGGATTTGTTAGTTACTCAAATGACGGAGCTTTGGTTTTGTCCTTGAAGACAGCGAATACATCTTAGACCTCCACCTGGCTTACTATCTCCAGCACCTTTGTACCAAGAGAGCCTTCTGGTGGTTGGAAAAGGCAGGGCAACCATAATGCCACTAGTCTTCACCAATAATATATATAGCCAATACACTGTTCCTTAATAACAATAATGCAAGATAACCCCAGGAAACCATTTTTAGATAGACAGTACCATTCAAAAGGCCTGAGCTGCAACAAATAAAAATCTAATTGAACCAATATTTAGATATGTAAGTTAGCCATTCAACTATTGACAACTCAAACCTTACTGCAAATTTATCCAACATCTTTCCACTTTTTACAAGGAAAACTTAGACACATTAAATATTGAGCCCCAAAATATATTGTCCCAGCGTTCATATACTGAAGTCGATACAGGATTTATCATGACAGACCTACGCATTGTTCCTTAAAATAAACTTAAAAACAGCTCGGATTTGATTAAGTGACAGTACGCCCACTTTTTGTTGACAGTGAATTACAGTGGGCTTGAAACCATGCTCTGTCAGGGCTGTCTTGGTGCCGATTGGACGTCATTTTGGGCATGATGAGAAGTGAGTGGTGGAGTGTGGATTGCCTGCGTTGCCTGTGGGCTGAGTGCGAGGCTGTGTGCGATTAAACCCTCTAAACATTACAGAAGCAGCTCTTTGTCAGGAGTAAAGGGATCCGGGGGCGCGCTAAATTAAGATGACAGGATTGTGAATATTTCTGCAGGGAGTAGTAGGCTATGCTGCTGTGTGGATTTGGAGAAACTTAGAGAGCAAGCTAAATTTGGAAGTTCCGATTTTTTGGTTGGAATGTCTGGCTGAGCTGCTGTTCGCTTTTGCAGCATTGGTTTCTATAGACATTAGGAAGACAGTAAACTGAAATATTGGGTTGACCTTAAAAAAACAACAAAAAACTCTATATTGTTAGCCTTTAGTCACACTCAATCAGTAACAAGCCATAGGGTGTTTCAGGGCTGTGTGCTCTGCATTGTTTACATGCTTTAAAGTTATATAATTTTTAGTTTGCTTAATTGACCGTGATAGCTGCTTAAAATAGACATTGAGAAGTATATAACTGATCACAGTAGGCAAGATCATCTGTTCATTTCATGTGTCCTCTATGAAATCCTGAAATACTAGATGTCTTTTGGGCTAGTATTCTTAATAGTATTTTTTTCCTCTGTCTGTTACAGTGCTCAGTATCCGCGGTGCCCAGGAGGAGGAGCCTCCAGACCCTCAGCTGATGCGATTGGACAACATGCTGCTGGCAGAGGGCGTGGCCGGCCCGGAGAAAGGGGGCGGGTCCGCAGCAGCAGCGGCGGCCGCAGCTGCCACCGGAGGAGTGGGCGCAGACAACTCAGCAGAGCACTCAGACTACAGGGCCAAGCTGTCGCAGATCCGGCAAATCTACCACACAGAGCTGGAGAAATATGAGCAGGTCTTCACTCATGTAAAATTTATTATTTTTACCTTTTAGACTCACAATATACTGTACATTTACAATGTTTAATGGAGTGCTATGATAATCATATTCTTTATGTTTACAAAACAGCATTGGTCAGCTCCAGAACACCACTGCATGTTTTCCAACATGATTTATAATAAGAAAATGTTTCTAATTAGTCATCATAGTATTCTAGTTATGATTCATTAACCGGCACCGAAACAATATAGATGTAGAAACCAGCCTAGATTACCTCTGTGATGAGAACCAAGCTTTGCTTGATGCTGATGCTAGAAATAAAAAATAATTCAAAATCAACACACATCTGAACTCACCTCCAGGCATGTTTTTGATTAGGGAACATAATGGCAAGGCTGTTAGAAGTAAACAATATATAATAAAGCATGTTTAAATTCTTATTTAGCATGCTACAAGGCTATTTACATAATTACTGGATTTTTTGATGAACCATCTTGACATAAATGCTTGTGACTCCTAAAATAGTTGCTTTCTTTGTAAACAAATATCTGGCCATGGTTGTTAAACTTCCCTTGCTCGTTTTATATCAAATCCTCTTAATAGGCTTTCAAAGGCCAACTCAACACAATCGTAGCTCCTATGCATGATACCATCTCCCGCTTGTGATCCGCCATTATCTCAGTCACACCTCGGCTCGTTCCCAAACACTGTAACGTCTTGTCATTCCGTCGGAAGTGGCGGCATTCTGGGTTTGTCATCCTCGGCGCGGGAAGGCCAGTCATCGCTAACTGTCAGCGTCAATACACACCTGAGCATTTGTGTGTCACTGCTCCGGCACACCTCGTCTATGAGTGAGTGAGTAGTGTCTGCCGCCAGTGTGTACAAGCAGAACGGCGGCGACGCTGCATCACTTTGACTGACGTAACCCTGGTGTTGACAAGCAACAGACACCTTGACTCTGAATGCAGTCATATCTGGTGACTGATTCAGACACAGGGAGAATGAGCTAGACTGAGAGATGGAGTGAAAAGACAGTTTAAACCTCTTGAACGTGAACGGGGCTGAAAGCTGCCTGTCATTTCAGATTTCTCTTCTCTTGTCACATTTTCGTTTCTATTGAAGAGCCGTCTTTAATATTCAGAGCACCGCGAGTCGTGCTGCCTCCTCTGTATGACACCAGCGCCATTTGTTTGGTGTCACACACGGCTGTCTCCTGCTACCATTTAGAAAGCGCAGATTGCTCACTGTGCTCCTGACTGGACCTAGGCCTAAAGCTCTTTAAATTGATTCTTCATCCATATCTAGTCACATTTATAGGTCATAGTAATGTGTTGTAATTGTTCAGAAATGATCAAATTGACATCACATGCTGCTAGAGAGAGTTGACTTTTCACTGTTAAAGGTGCTATATTACACAAAATTGACTCTTGTGAGCTTTTAGCCATGTTATAATGCTGTTACCTAAACTGTCAACATCTCCAAAGCTCAAAATGCTCTATTCCACCTTGTGATGTCATGAAGCAGTCGTTTTCAAGTTAACAGCTGCCGTTTACTTTTTGTTCACTAGAGATTAGAATTTCCAGGGCTCAAATTATCCAGATGATTCTAATGAAGGTGTGTGGTTTTTAAAAAGACAGTGGAGCACTCACTGTAGTACCACATGACATCAAAAGGTAGAACAGAATCTTTTCTGTTTGAGAGAAGAATTCAGCCTACATATGCAGGGTTTGTGTGTTAAACTTTTTGTGTGCTAAACTGTGAATGAAACAAAACACAACTCTAGGTATGTTTTTGACAAGGAAACAACATTATAATATAGATGAGAAAATAGCATAATATGGGCCCTTTAAATATGCACAGTTGAAGCTGCTCTATTGCTCTGCGACATTCTTAACTCCCATTTATCACTGATTACTGTCTTATGTAATAAAGCCTACAGGCCCAAAAATAAATCAACAAATATGCACAATCGTCTCCATTTAGAAACTAACCACAGCATAGAAAAGACTGAAAATGTGCCTTGTATTGTTTAAAATGCATGATGATAAGAACCAGTTTAAATCCATCAATTAAACTCTTGTTATTGACCTCATTAGCATTTTTTTTTTGCCATGAGATAACTAGTGCAAATACAGTGTGTTCTAGCTGCTTCTTCATAGAAAACCATTTAAAGGTCTTCTTTGTTGATATTTAATTGGGTTGGCTGAGCATGTGATTGGCCCAAAGCCTCCAGCATAGATGACATGTTGCGGTCTTGCTGTTCACAGATTCACAATTCACTTTCAAGAGAGAGAGAGAAAAAAATCACTCTCTCCATAATTTTGGTTATGGCGGTCCAGACCACTGCTTCTTTCTTAAAACTCTGTAATACTGTGAGTGTATAGCACCTACCAGACCAAGCCGACCGCTCGCCACAATCTAATTTCACCCCTTTGTTCTCGGCTGCGTGATAGTTATATTCCACGTGTGAGTCATGTCTATGTGTGCTTCCAGGCGTGCAATGAGTTCACCACCCATGTGATGAACCTGCTGAGGGAGCAGTCGCGCACTCGGCCCATCTCGCCCAAAGAGATCGAGCGCATGGTCAGCATCATCCACCGCAAGTTCAGCTCCATCCAGATGCAGCTGAAGCAGAGCACCTGCGAGGCCGTCATGATCCTGCGTTCACGCTTCCTCGACGCCAGGTTTGTGCAGTGGAACAACAAAAACAATGTTTGTGGGGTGATATATTGTCATCATATAGGAATCGTTTACATTAAACAATAACCTTTTCTTAATAAGAAGAGTAACTAAATAACTAACTTTTTATTAGAAGTTAAAGAAGCTAAATTGTCTTCCATATAAAGAGGATATCAAAATATATAAAATGTGATTATCAAGCAAACTTTTATAGTAAAAATGCCATAAAAAGAGCTCATTAAAAATGAAAATGGAAAAAAAAAGTTTCTACTTATGTCGTAAACTTCTAAATAAGGTCAAAAGTATTTATATAATATAATATTTCTGTAGTGATATGGGTTATTTTACAATAATTTCACATTTGGCTGATAATTAAATCTCAACTTTAAACTAAAGACACATTTCTGTCAGATTGACAAAATAGTGTATGTGTATTATTATTGAGATATTAGTTTTTTGTCAATTTCAACCACCTCTACACCTATGTGTATTTTAACGTAGTCCTTTCATATTTTGTGATATGTGAAGCACATTTCTAATGGATTACACATATGTGATATGGTATTTGTTATCAAGAGAATAAAAAAAATATATATGTAAAAAAATAATGAGATATTTATTTTTTAACAAAATTGTCCACCTTTAGGTCAGGACTTGACATTAATCCCAGCAAACGAGCCAAATGCTAGTATATTTCTTTGTCCAGACAGAATTCATGGTCTGGAAATGTAATGGTATTTTTCTAATTGTTATATTTTTCCAGGCGAAAGAGGAGAAACTTCAACAAACAGGCGACAGAGATCCTAAACGAGTACTTTTACTCCCACCTCAGTAACCCGTACCCCAGCGAGGAGGCCAAAGAGGAGTTGGCCAAGAAGTGCGGCATCACCGTCTCACAGGTATATAAGAGCTAACTTCCAAACTTTGTTTAACATTATCTTATCTTATTTCATTGTATTTGCATTGATGGCAGCTACTAAGATTTTCAGTAGTGTCTAACTATTTTCGCATGCACCTATTAGGTTTCCAGCCTTGCACAGATGAATTTAAATGCCAATATGATAAGATGATAAGAAAGGTTATCTGCACAAGAGAAATCATCTTTCAAACAGCAGATAAAGTCAGAATAGAGAACAGTCAGGGCATAATACTCCTCTACTCAAAATGCTAAACTAGTGTGTATACTTTTAATGCATAATATGTCTCCAAATAGAGAACTTGTGGTGTTTAATAGCTATGTGCAGTTGTCTTATATACTTGTATTTGTAACTTGTATTTTCCCAGGTATCCAACTGGTTTGGGAACAAGAGAATCCGATACAAGAAAAACATTGGCAAATTCCAAGAGGAGGCCAACATGTACGCAGCAAGGACCGCAGTGAACGCAACCAACGTGTCAGCTCACGGCAGCCAGGCCAACTCCCCCTCCACTCCCAATTCAGCAGGTGAGTCCCAGTCAGTGAATTGAAACCAAACTTCATAAATACTACTCCTAATATTATTATTATTACTACTACTACTACTTATACTGGTTTATGGGGCTCCAATTCAAGAACACATATGTTTGGAGCTCCTCACTGACTCCCAATCCCAACAGTATATTGCATATGGTAACTTGGGCAAACATGAAATAAATAGTGTTCTTTAGCCTTTACTCAAAAATGCGTCTGTTGTTCATTAAAGTCCTATTGTTTAACTTTTCAGCCAATAATTGACTAAGATAAAAGCTGTGAGAGGGCTTGCATCTCCATAAAACAAACTCTTCTTGGACTGGAGGAGGGCCTTTTGTTTGTTTGGTTATAATATTCCACAGTATGGCAGTATATCTCAATGGAGAAGTGCTCTTTCATGGAATCATGCAGGTGACATGCCTCCAGAAAGTTACACATTGGTGCTATAAATAAATTTTAAAAGGTAAATGTAATTCATTCCAACCATTAACCATTTCCAATACTCAGTAGGCCCGGTATTAAGAAAATGTATATTTAATGTATCTGTCTGAAAAGGTTGTTCAGAAATCTACCAAATAATTTTGGAGTTAGTTGCAACTTCAGTAAGTTCAGGGTCAGTAAGTCTTCACAATATAAACCTACACAGCATCAAGGATACCAATTTTAGTTGAGTGCACTGTACATTAGCACTATACTTTACAAATGGGATTTTGGGCTCCAACTCAAGAACTGTGTCTCTGGGGCTCGTCGGCGGCCCGTAATTTTCCTAACAGTAGCCTACATCTCTATTGGATTTCTTAGATATATTTTCCATTTTCCGTCTACCTCTCTCTCTTTCACTGGGTTATTGACCTTTTGCTCTTGCAGACGCTAATTTTTCCTGCCTCTTGTCCGGTTGACCTGGTGCATGCCATTAAGCAGGTCCGAGGCCAAGCCAAGTCTTTTGTCATATAGAGACTTCTTCAACTGTATTGGATTAGGAAGCGGGTGTTGAAATCAAGTTAACCATGCTGTTCTTTACATCTGGGGAGCTGCGGTACATTACAGGACAAAGACTATTCTTCGAGCCTTCCTGCAATCAATTATTGTTTGCTTACTGCTTTAACAAAACAATCCATAAGCGCTTTTTAACAGGGCTGTTTTATCATCTTGTATTGGCTGTTCCTATACCCTTTTCCACTGTAATGTACAAATGTAGTGAGCTAACCCCTTTGCTTTGCATGACTTTTCTAACTCTGTCCTCTCTCCTCTTCTCCTCCAAACCTCCATGTCTTTTCAGGTTCTGCTGGCTCTTTTAACATGTCAAACTCCGGAGATTTGTTCATGAGTGTGCAGTCCCTCAATGGGGACTCATACCAAGGGGGGCAAGTGGGGGCCAACATTCAATCCCAGGTACGAAAGCTTAGCCTGTGATATATATGATGTAAAATTGTCTTCAGCACCAACATACAAAATATGTAGTTTATTTTTATTCAGAAAATATTAACAAAAAGCTGCTTTAGATGATTATTAATCATACTGATTTTTATTTTTGCTCAGTTCTCATTCAGTCTATTTGTGCCTCACTTACCTCATGCTTTCCTAGCATCCTAATTATTCACTACAATGAGTTTATACGAGCTTTTCACAACTGTCAGTGACCAGAGCAGAGTTTTGCTCTGTCACTGTAATGACAGCAACAAGTAGCATGCTAATCGCGCACTTTCTGATTCTTGGACATTAATGAAACTGGTCATTATTAGATGCATATAGTACACAGCTGACTTATTTTGATACCAAGCCCTACTTTTCAATCAAAGATTTTTGCCAATATAGTGATCTTTAATAGTATGCCATCACTACAGGTGCAGTTTATGGTAAATTTACAAAAAGTCTGTCAATTATACCAAATACATGCTCATTTCTACTTGTATTCCCTTTTCAGGTTGTAGTTTTATGAATAAATAACAGTTACCGTCAGTGAATAAAAAGTCAATTGATGCAATTTCTCTCCATTTTTTCCAAATGTCACTCCTTACCAGGGGGCTCACTTTTCAGCCCACAGTGAGAACGCTTAGCCTAATATTCCCTGCATGTAATAATGTCTCTGCTCTGGTCAGTCTGGGAAGTACGATAAACAGAAGAAGTTGACCTCCGCAGTCACACAAAGGGTAAAGAGTGCCTTAAGCCTCCCATTTCCCCATTGTCAAATCCCTGAGTAGACGTCGGCGGACACTTTTGGAGCCGGTACAGCACTTATCAGCAGCGTGACGGGATTTCACATAGCCACTGGTGCCCCATACTCCTCTGACCTTGCCTCAGTGGACAGAGAGGGCCATAGCTGCGATATCGAGTGTTAAAACTCACACCAAACATTAAGAAATCATCTCCCGTGGTCATGTCCTCTGCTTTTGGCACCAGAGTCTTCCCGTCCACACCTCTTTCTATTCAGATCAGTTCTTCACAAACGCTTTAGGATGCTTCATGAATATGTAGCAGGGACGTTGCTTATAGGGGGAGAGACGGAGGTCCTCAGGGTTGGGCCTTAAATATTTAGACTTGTGTTGTTTCTGAAGGGTTAGTTTCTAAATGCGTGACCTCGCTGTGAATTTAAAAGAAGTGATTGTGTAGGTTTGAACTGCTGTAAAACAATATGGCAGGTATATATACTGAACACTGTGTTTCTTCTTGTGTCAGATTAGCCTGGTAAAATAGATACATTTTCTTAGTTAAATTGACATGCAAGAAAACCTTTTTCTTCTTTTAAAACCTTTTTCAAGTTACACATTATTATATTTTCCTATTTTCTTTTTATATTAGGTAAGGTTGCTACATGTTTACCATTGCACAACTGTTAGGACATTGAGGCTAACCTTACTAATATTTAAGCAGTGTTGAGAAGTAAATGAATACATGTACTGAGAATATGTATATTCTGAATACTTCTTTTCTTTAAATGTGTTCTGGTACAGTTGCTTTTTCATTTTGTAGCGTTCAGAATTGACTGAAGTTACTTTTCTAAAATTAAAGGAATATTTTATGGTATTTGATCATGTAATTTAGGCTTCAAACTGCACATTATCAATGAGAAAAATAGACAACTCTGCTCTTGTGGTGAGCATGTGTGATTTACTATGCTTTAAAAAAGTTTTTTGTCGCATCGTCTACTCTAATATGTCGCATCATCTACTCTAATATACATCAGTCTACTCTAATAATTTAAATGTATCTTGATGTGAAAGTATTATGAGTATTCAGAATACAATGCTCTGATTGGCTTATGTAACAGAATACATTTAAAAATACATTTTAATACAGGTATTCAGTAACTAAATACATTTTCAAAGTATTCTTTCCTTCACTGCATATAGGTGTAGTATAGTTAGTTTTCATTGTTTCCATGTTACTACAAAGCCCTATTTAAAATAAGAGAAATATGATCTATGCTAACCCAGCAATTTAAGCCCAAGCCTTGTGTTTAGAGCCTTCATTTCATTCAGCTAGTAAACATGGAGGAAGATCTGCCTAATTAGATTCATTGTGTTATTTTGCATTGTCTCTTATCACACTTGTATAAGGAGCCAAATCATAGCGGATTGTGTTTGTAACCTTTTCCGGTTTGTGGCACCCTTTCTCTATCACACTGACCTTTCGTGTGCGAGGCTTTCTTTGTTTAGTCCGAGCGCTAGTGTGACCAGACCCTTTGTTTATGTGTCCCTCTTGTTCCAGGTGGATACCCTTCGCCATGTTATCAGCCAGACCGGAGGATACAGTGACAGCCTCGCAGCCAGCCAGATGTACAGTCCACAGGGCATCAACGTAAGAGCTGTAAACACGCTTTCTCACTGCTACAGACATGGAGTCTACTGCATCTGGGCAGAGCTAGTGATGTAAAACCATATATTACACAGCCAGACTATCAAATCCATGACAGACGCTTGTTTATTTACTGAAATTACAGTTACTAAAGTACTATGCATACAAGCTCTGAGCTAAAAAAAAATCTTTTATTAAGATCTTTTCCAACAACCACTGTAAATACTCACCAGTAAACAAAATCTTCATAAGTGCAAAGGCAGATTAAACTGTCCAGACACGCTCAAAGCTCCACTCACTTCATGCACTCGTCTTTTCTGCAGTGGTCCATATATATTATTATAATCCTAATAAAGTAATTTGTCGAAAACATTTGGTTGACACTACTGACTGATTTAACCAAAAGCATTTGACTTAACCTACTATTTAGCAGACGTACATTGAAATGTATCACTATCTGAGTAAATAATTCTTTCTATTTAGACAAATTTGGATCAAATTGTACAATGTTTTTCACTTACACACACTTACTAAAATCCTTTAATTTTCTCAAAATTCGACTGGTCTGCCTTATGTATGAAAATAGATGAGAGAATTCAACATTACAGATATAGTGCCTTATCATCCGGTGCACCTTATAGTCCGAAAAACACAGTACTTGTTCATTATAATGTTATAATTAGTAGATAATTCATGAGAACATTTGATTTAAATTATATTGAATTTGAGTAAATGCATTTGAATGTCAGGGTTGGAACCAGTCATGTTTGTCACAACTGCATGGCGAAAATATATGTTCTTTAGAAGGCATAACAAGATCATAACACAAACTTTTTCATCTTTAGTGGAAAAAAGACACTATCCTATATGATTCTGTGATGCCATTTAGCAGAAATTTGGTGTTGGGCATCAGTCCAGGCTCTTGCACCCCCCCTGTCAGGGTCGTGCCCTGGGTGGCAGGCAATGAGGCAGGATCTGGACATGCTCCGAGCCTGTCGCGGGATATTAGTGTTAGCGAGGCACCTGCAGTCGACAGCAACAAGGACGCAGATGTCATCTAGCCTCCAAAACACCGGCCCCGAGACTGGCGATCACACCATTCTCTCCTCGCCACCATACTTAAAATAAAGTTGCTAATTGCTAAAAATACGCACATCAGTTGGAAGGGGCGGGGCCTAGGTGTAGCTGTCAGGGTGGGACTTACTGGAGGCGGGTTCATATGTAGATTCACACAGACAAGCAGTCCCGGGCTGAGCAGAATCGATACGACAGTCACAGGGACAGGAGGAGCGCGGCTTTGGGGCTAGCAGTCCAAGCACATTGGTCAGATCATTCATCCACAGGGGCAGTCGCACTGACAGCCCCGCACCGCCAACACCCCCAAACTGAAAAAGCATGTAGAACAGTGGGATATGTGAAATCTGTAAAACTCAACCAATATATTATTAAGTTTACAGGGCCCATATTACACCATTTTCTGATCTCTGTTATAATGTTGTTTCCTCATCACAAACATACCTGCAGTTATGTTTTGTTTCATTCACACAAACATGCAAACCCTGCATATGTAGGCTGAGTTCTTCTATCAAACAGGAAGCTCTCTGTTTCATCTTGTGATGTCATGTGGTAATACAGGAAGTGCTCCTCTGTGCTTTTAAACTCCATACACCTTTACTAGAATCATTTGTATAATTTCAGCCCTGAAATTGCTGAAACTTAACAAAATGGAAAAGTAGCTCTGTTAACCTTAAAACTACCACTAAATGACATCACATGGTGGAACAGAGCATTTTGAGCTTTGGAGATGCGGACAGACTAATAATAAAGATTTACTCAGACATGTGTGAGTGAAACAAAACACAACTCCAGGCATGTTTTTGAGGTGGTAGCAGCATTATGTGAGTTAGATTACAGGAACAAGGAAAAAAAAATAACTCTGGATATATAATAGACCTAAAGCCAACCACAATATCTAACATTTTAGATAAACACTAGACCTTCATAATTGCAAAGAAATGCTACAAACGAACAGAGAAAGTTCAGTATAATTCTTATTGATTGAAATGAATTATAGTGGTAATGTTATTTTTTGTGTGTGTGTGTTGTTTTCACTTAACATTGCTTTTTTATTATCCATAACCATCTTGAATTTCGTAGCAAGTCTGAGTGAAACATTCCTCTCCAAGTTAAAGCACAAAAGTGAAAATATATAATTACTATAATATTAGCTTCATTGTACTGTTTATAATGAAAAGACTTTTTTCTGAGCACGCTATGAATGAAGTGCAGCACCTCTGCAGCACCTATTTTATATTTATTCACTCTCACTAGTATTTTTTCTTTGCCGAGATCTACTGACTGAGCTCACACGGTTCACCTCGTCTCTTTTTATCCTTGAACGGCAATTACACCCCGGAAATTGCTGGTGGGTGTTGCCGTTTCCTAGAGAAATGTTTTTTTTTTTTTCTCTTCTTTCATTTTTTTCTTTCACTTGTGCTTCTGAGTAAGATGACAGACAGTCTTTACGCAAAATAACAGGGTTTAGAAATGAGAGGCTGCCACGGCACGTTCACTGCTCGCACTAATAGCACGGAAATTGCAATTAATGTCCGTAATGGTCTTTAGTCAACCTTTTACTGCGATTTGAGGAGGCTTTCAATTTAAAGACCTATTTTTATTGTGATAATGTATTCTTTTTATCAACCATCTTGGGTGTATATTCAGAAAAATGCCAGAGTCTGTCCCCACTTTTGAGCAGAACAACAAAGTAGATTTTTTAAAAGGCTCATTCAAGGCTGTTTATCTGTCATTAGAAGTGAAACTGTAGACAGCTCCGGTAGCTATTGTTGTGTTTGGAATCAAATACAGAAAATCACAACAAATTGAAGTTTTTTAGAAACCTAATGGTAAAAGTAATCATTATTGTATTTTGACAAAGCTGTTGGCATGATATGAAATTGTATTAATTATTGAACCCCATTTTAACCCCATAACCCAATTTAAACAAAAGCAATATTAATCTCATGTAAATGATATAATATATACAATAAAATCTGGTTCCACAATGAATAATAATAAAAATGAAAATGCTGCTGTATCACTGAAATGTGGTTTTAGACATCTTTAGACCTGACACAGCAATGTATAGTTACAGTGACAAAAAATGCAATCTTTTTAAGATACTGTCCAATCATTTAGGCCTTTCTTGGGAATTTTGTAGCAAGAAACTGTGACCGTTTTACAACCTTTGTAATTAAGGTGTTTAGTTACTTATTTTCAAGTTAACTTTAGGGTTATCTACAGGCTTAGGACTCAAATAGATAGCAAAGTTTCTGACCATTTATATATATATGTGTGAATGTGATGTGTGGTGCATTGTTGTTAATTTTGCCTGTCATGTGTCTGCAGACAAACGGGGGCTGGCAGGATGCCCCAACCCCTTCGTCAGTGACATCGCCCACAGAAGGTCCCGGAAGCGTCCATTCGGATACTTCCAACTGAATCTCGTCCATCTCTTGGCCCCATCCACACACAGGAACCATGGACTGACCTTGCTATCCACAGTATTACACAGAGGAGTTTGCTGTCCCGCCTCATGGAGAGGTACAGCAAAAGCCAGACCGCTCCAAAACACTTCTCTACAGTCGGACACTTGGGATACAAAAATACAAAAATGTTTCAAATTGTAATCGATGGAGATGTTTGTACAGATTTCACATTCTATTCAGAGGGCTGGGGTTACTTACTCACTCATAATGTTTTCACACATCATGATAAAATGTTATGATAAAGAAACCATTCTCCATTCTACCTCTCAGCCACATAAAAAACATAGAAAAATGTCAGTGACCATTATTTGTTTTGTAAAAATAAAAAACTTTTTTGTCTTTGCAAGAGGCACATCTTCTTACTTACGTACATTTTGTTGTCTCTCACTTATTCTATGGTACGCCATTTAGACTTAAATATTGCTCAGTTGTTTACAATGTGTGCTTGATAAAGTCTGTCCATCTCCCCCTCACTCTCCTGCTGCAGGAGATGTGAGCTCTAAGGTAACCCTGTGAAGTATGTTATCTGTAAAACAATAAAGAAATACTTGTCATCCAAGTGGACATGCCTGACCTCATTCATTGATTGTAGAAAACAGTAACAGTCCTGCTATCGCCAATACAGATGCTAAAGGTTGTAGGCCTGACCAAAAGTAGATTTCAAGTCTTAATATTGTATCTTATATTCAAGATACTGCGTTTACAAGTTGAAATAAAAGTAAATGCATTTTACTACAGATATAGTTACAGACAAAATGCATTTGCCATGTGTAAAAATGGTTTGTTTTGTCTGTCCTTAATTATTTTATGGTTGCCACAGAAATATTTTAACAACTGTTTATACTGCATGCCTGTCTCATGGTTACCGGCTACAATATTTTCCTAAGTCTGGAGGTTTTACTCAAGTTGGTCAAATTATCCAAGTATCTGGTTTAGCTGAAGTATAATAATAGTAAATGGCTCCAATCAGTGATGGGAAGAATACTTCGAAAATGTACACAGAATACTGAATGCCTACAATAAAATGTATTTTGAGGTGTTACATGTTCCAGTCAGAGTACTGGATAGTATTCTGAATACTTAGAATACTTTTACATCAAGTTGCATTTAAATTATAATCTAAAGACGCAACATGGTATTAATAACAGCTTTATATTTGTTTCACTTTTTTCATGTTTTAAAGCATCGCCACAAGAGCAGAACTGTCTATTTTTCTGACTGATTATGTAGAGTTTGAAGGCTTAATTGCACTGTAATTGTATTGGAATACAGTTACTCAAAAGTAACTGTACTGAATATGTATTCTTGTTACATGTATTCAGTTCCTTCCCAACAATGGGTCCAAAGAATAAACACATTCAGTGATGTTTAATGCATATACCAGCCCCAGGATACATTCAGGAGTGAGACATAGGCCTATCACAAGACGCTGCATATCACTTTGTGCAGAAAACTAAGTTTATCAACGAGCTCCGTAACCCACTTTGTTTTCTAATACATTACAGCAATCCACTTAAACAGGAAGCCAATTATCTTAATAGAGTTTTACTTGTGCACGCAACACACCCAGATGCCATATTAAAGGCAGCTATTGAAGAACTGTTCTTTAAAATAATTAAAAGTCCCAAATTGCACAAAACTGACTGATGTATTGTTACCTCCTCAAATATAGACCTGGAGTTGTGTTTTGTTTCATTCACACGTTTGAGTTTTTTGCATTATTAGTTTGTCTACCTCTGCAAAGCCCAAAATGCTCTATTCCACCTTGTGATGTCATGTAGTGGTAGATTTCAAACTAAAAGCTACCTTTTACCTTTAGTTCAATAGAGGACTGAAATTGCCCAGATGGTTGTAGTGGCGTATGGAGTTTAAATAATACTAGCATTAGTTTTTTTTTGTTTTGTTTTATGTGTTATAGTTTTAGAAGTCGCTGAAGGTCACTATTGCAGCTCATAGAATAGTTTTACTGTATCTTCAAATGGCATCTGTCCAGTACATTTACTTTAATGAACACCAAAATCAAGATGGCTGATCCATGTTTGCAAAACTCTGTGTCCTCGGTAATACTCTGGGACAGTTCATAGTTTACACAAATGGATTCTGATTGGGAATGGTATGAAGTGTGTCCTTGTACAATCCAAACAGAGCAGACCGAACCAATGACAATATCTGGGTGGACAGTGGCATGTCCAAGAGAATTACGTTCAGAGAGAGTGAATATTCATAATTGGCCAGCGCAGGGTTTTTTTTTCGGGTGGAGGGTGAGGGCCTTGACTGCTGACGGAGTGCGAAATGCTAGCGTTAGACTGCTCCTCTCCTTACCCCCGGGGGCATGAGAAGTGGGTCTGCTGCTGCCTTCACTGCTCCATCAAAACAATGTCACACCAAAATACTACGGTGGGCACAAGCTGAAGAGTGGTGTGGAAAAGGCTGTTAACTAAGTGTGCTTTTAAATTTTCAGTTTTTTGTTTTGCAGTTTTTAGATATGGACTGGGTTAGGTTCAAGTCATTAAAACAAGTCAAGTTTAGTAGATGGGTTTCGGATAGAGTGTTAAAGAAAGGTCCAAGTTCATTAAAGGTGCACTGTGTAACTTTTTTAGGAAAGGGCCCTCAACTTGTTTGTCTCCATGGAGATGTTAATGCTTTAGTTTAAATTGTCCACAGTAGACATTAATCTGTCTTGCATTTATTCAGCTACAAGTATTATTTATTGCTCAAAAGTGGCTTAATTCTGTGGCTGTGAGTGGGGTCACCTCTTCACATATGTAACCTGCAATTTGGCTTGCAAGTCTCCATGGAGATTATTCTTCAAGTCAGGTTTATATGGGTAGAGCTGGATAGAGTGCTTATCCTCAAATGAAGTTATTTAAATCCATTCAATCATCATTTTGTATTAAAAGTATGACGAAGTTCATATTAATTAGTATGTCTATAGAAGTAGACCCAATTAAAAAGTGAGTTAACAATGTATTTTATAGCCTATTTGTTTTTAATATGTTCTCCTGAAATAACCTTATACCTTATTCCCTTGATTGTGATACAATCAGAAATCAAGGTTAAATTAGCACTGATAAATAATAATGACAAACAGTATGACTATGATGGAGGTAAAGGTTGAAGGGGAAGTTGGCATAAAATGTCAGCCACATTTACATGAATCTGTCCAGGTCAGCAGTTGCTACAAAAGACGTTTACCACCAGACTGTGATGAGGAGATACTAATGATGGACAATGTCAAGCTTGTAGAGAACTGTATCTGAATCTGAAAATAATATTGCAAGATTGATAATGAAAAAGGAGCTGGCATTTAGATGGTATACTAACAAAATATAACAGAAGCCATTTTATCTTAGTCTTAACACCTCTGCGCTCCTCTGAGGTGTGGCACTGTGCAGGCTGATTGAAATCTAATGTTTCTGTTGACATCTGCCTCCCCAGCTGTCACCGCTGCGCTGCTTGTAATTACAGCCGGCGAGCAGAGGCACGGGTGGGTGGCCCAGACACCTTGTCCTCGCCCGGCGATGGCAAACGGCACACTGCCTTAATGTGCAGTGACACGCCATACCGTAGCCTGCTGCTCTGACCCCCAACCAGCTGACCACAGCAGCCCCCCTTACAGTCAGTGTCCCAAATTCACCCATTCACACGCTGTCAGTGAGGTCTGGGTGTGGTGGCTGTAAATTACACATGCGCAAGTCATTTTGAGACAATATGAGAAATATACTGGCAAGAGACAAAACGGATTGGCTTTCTTTATGCATTTAAGGCCCTATATGTGATGTCTACGTTATAATGTTGTTTCCTCATCACAAACATACTCATAGATGTGTTTTATTTCATTCACACTTTTAACACACAAACCGTTTATCTCTCAAATGAAAAACGCTGTTCTGCCTTGTGATGTCATGCGGTAATACTGGAAGTGCTCCAGTGTGTTTTTAAACTCAATATACTTTCATTAGAATCATTTGGATCATTTCAGCCCTGGAATAGAGAATCTCTACTGAACTAAAGGCAAAAGGTAGCTAAATTGAGAGCTACCACTTCAAGACATCACAAGGTGGAAGAAAGCATTTTGAGCTATGGAGATAAAGACAGATAAAGGGCTACTCAAATATCTGTGAATGAAACAAAACACAACTCCAGGTATGTTTCTAATGAAGTAACAACATTCTGACATGGCTTAAAGCTCACAAGGGCTTTAAGCCATGTTAAGCCATAATGTTTCCTACAATGGATGCATAGCTAGGCTTCAATGAACCACAGTACCAGTGTGTTGAATGTTCATGTCTCAGGTCTTGTAGTGATGGTAAATTTCTAGTAAACTCCTTCAATCATTCTAGAATTTGTGTACTCTAATGAGAATTTCTGTACTCTAATGGGTTTTTTTAATGCCTAAAAATGGATTAGCGAACTGAAGTGACAGCAAAGCAATTATTTAAATTTAGGCTTATTATTTTTTCATAATTGGTTTTAACAGCTGGAATAATCAAGGTTGACACTTACTACTCATAAGTAGCCTATCCTATACAAAAGAATTTGTTTGACATAAATAGCAAATAGCATTCTCTTATTTGGCTTTATATACATACATACATACATACATACATACATACATATATATATATAAAGCCTTAACAGAGGGATTGTGGTTTACCCTAAGGCTATTGTGTTGCCATGGAAACGCTGAGTTAGACCAGTTGCACCATCTGACAAAAATATGGGAAAAACTGAGGTCACATACTGTAGTCTTGAATGAACAAAATAGATGCTACAAGCTTGAGATATGTGCCTATACGTACAATGACCTTCAGCCTTATCTGCACACAACCAAAACAACACAATATATGAAGGATAACAATGAAGCACAAAGGTGTAGTATCAGGTAACTTAAAGGTTGTATGGAGGATTTTTTGTTTGTTTCAAACTGTCAGTGAAAGATTAAAATACCATTACAGAGACGCAGCAGCTTTGTAATTATGATGACCAAAAAAAAAAAGAACGAAAATCTATCAACTGTGGACGTAGTGAGGCCAGATAAACATCAGCCAATAGAAAACGAGGCTCCCTCATTTTCTATTGGCTGTTAAGATTGTCAATCAAACTCCCTAGTATAACTGACTCGTCGGAGCGCGGGGATTACGTGGTTTACACAGCGGTTCTTAGAGGCATTTTCGAACTGTCGCTTCCTCGCATTTCGCACAAAGTTTGTCACGACGGCAGACGAGAATCCACGACCGGTTCGCCGCAAAAGAAAGTCGGTTTTTGAGGTCGCTGAAAGAAGAAGAGAAGAGGAAAAGGAGCAAAGCCAAACTGAGGTGATTCTTGGAGATCTCGTCCAGCGATGGCGCGACCGAAGGAGACGAAGGGTCTAAAAACTGACGCGTCGGTCGCTGAATTACTTCTAGACAGAAAACTTCAACAGTGATTCTGAATGCGCACAAGGACTGTCGCTGGATTTCTCTTCCCTTAAAAAAAATCCTCTATACAACCTTTAAGGCCTTTTTTTTAACATTATGGATATTTTTAATTAATATGATTGACATGCATACAGCAGATTACTAACACAAGGGTCCTCAACTGTCCTGAAATAAGCACAGTTGAGGATCCTTTATTTTGTAAACTGGTTCTCTTCAGACGCTTTTGCTGAAAAATAAAAAAAAATCTAGTATGCATGTCAACTAGGCCTCTTTTATTTCCGTTCTATATCCAACCACACAACAGAATGCTGAATTGTCTGCTTCTTCAAGCGTCCATTGCAAAATTAACTTTTTACTATGTACATTTTTTGTGGCAGTCTTTGGAGAGCCAGGATTTGAGAATCACAGATCTAAACCACAACTTACAAATTATAGTTTACGCCTATGCTCTGATCCTCCTTCTATAAGTAGACAGTTTGATCTAAGATTATATTAAAATACTATGTTTAACTGAATAGACGTGATGAGTAACTTATTTAAAGGTACATCAAGATTTTTTATTTTTTTTCTCAGTGTGTTGCTTGATGAATACAATTCTAATAATTCACGGTATTATGGCGCCCCTTCAGTCCACATGGCGCCACAGCACTAGATAAAGGGGTACTACTATTTGATGGCGGTTTCTCACAAACACGGAGAAATTCCTTCACCTCGATGCTCCTCCTCCTTTCTTTACACTCCCACTGGCGAACTCTTGCGAAAACCTGCCACACCAGTAATTTGAGGCCACTGGAACCTTTTGCGTGTGCCGTCGGAAAACAACATGGCAGACGATGCATCTCCAAAGCGACGCGACGGGATTGTGGTAATTACACCCGACAAATGTGCAAAAAACTCCAAGGGAAAGTTGTCGCCTGCGTGCAACCTCAAAATAGTGCAACGTGCCAAATGTAGAGGCCACTTGTAGCTTTACGCACAGAAAAAATATGGCGTACAATGGGATCACACTTGCAAACTACTATCTTTTTGTTCTCAGATTGAGGATGACTGGCCAGGCTACAGTTTAGACTTGTTCAGTTACCCTACGCACTACTCCGGGGACTTGGACTGTGTCATCATCCCACATGGAGTGATCATGGACAGGTACTTTATGCCCTTGCACGTGCCCCCCAGATGTGCTCTTACGACTCCCCACAACACTATAAGGAATGCCACTGTTTTCAAAGTGTACTCTTGAAGTTATAATTTAAGTCGGAAAAACAAAACAACAGATGTTCCACTGAGTCTGTAATTTAAAGACAGAATTATACTGTATGTGTTTGTTTGCATCTAAATTCGCTTCAAAATAAGATAATAAAATGTAAAAATATAGAAGATGCTGTCCATAATGAACAGCCCAGCATATAAAAAGTATGATCATTGTGTATAAATAGCAATGCAACAAAACGAGTGAATATTTTTAGTATGTAAGCCAGTTATTAAGATAGAATCAGACATAGTGGTTTAGATACAAAAAAAGAAAAAAGTTGATAAAGAAGTTTATAGACCTGTCAGAGGAAAATTTTTTTTGAAGTGTGACATTTTGCTAGTGATAATATAGACGATAAACGATGATATTGAAATGAAATTATGTCACTGGCATGATAACCTTAAAGCAGGATTCTCCCAAATGAGCAACATTGTTAAATTAACAGCGGAATGAAATACTTTTGTAGTTCATTTCAAGATGGTGGGTAATAGTAACAGTAATTTATTCAACCTTCTATACCTCAAATTTTGTTGTAGTGCAGAAAAATAACAAAATGTTCCTGTCTAGTACAAAGAAAAAGTACTCCAGATAAATATTGCCCCCCTAAAACTATTGTTCAAACAATATAGTAGTTATCGTGGCAGGTCTAGAAGTTTATAGAGAAGTTTACTAACCCAAAAGCTGTCAGACGAACATTGTCTCCTTGGGCAAGACCCTACTGCCCTTATAATGTGGTGATTGTGTGATTGCATAGTGTATTTCATATAAAATAGCTCTGCCCTGTTTTATATTTTCAGGACAGAACGTCTGGCCCGTAACATTATGGACGATCTGGGTAACCATGACATTGTGGTGCTGTGTGTTCTAAAAGGAGGATACCAGTTCAGTGCAGACCTCGTGGACAGGATTAAGGCTCTGAGCTGCAACTCCAACCGCACTATCCCCATGAGGGTACACTTTATCCGGCTCAAAAGCTACCTGGTGAGGGCCTATGGGACACAAAAATGTCTGCTTACTGCTCTGAGGACCTTGGGATGGAAAGAACACATTACTGTAATATAAAATATAATAATATAACATAGGAATTAGGTATTTATAGTAATGTAGTCAGTACATTTACTACACAACACAGCCAAAGCTATATCCATGCATATAGTAACAATCTACTACTGTCACTGCTGCCATTAAAATGAAAGATGCACTGTAGGCCTACCACCATGGAGATGCTTCTGCATTGCCTGTAATGTTCCATAGTATGGCATTCTATATATTTTATCTCCATGGAGATAGGCAGGTGATGCATGTTTGTCAAGGTATTTTTGAGCAATAATATCTCAACATAATTGAAGAATGCAAGATAGATATGATTTGTGCCGTACTGTGAAAGATTCTAGGCAAAGACATGTAGGTGTTGGACCCTTCTACAGAAAAGTAACATAGTACACCTTTCTCTAATATAGCTGCTTCTGCATAATCATGTCCTTAAAATATTAATATTTCAAAAATCTCATGCATTTCCTATATACAGTTTCAAGATTACTGTTTTGTACATACTACACAGACTATACCTTCACTTATTAATGTTGACTCCCCTCAGAATGACCAGTCCACAGAGGATCTGCACATAGTTGGAGCTGAGGATCTGTCATTTCTAACAGGAAAGGTAAAATTACATATTATATAATGCACAACACAAAACAGATGTATCACATACTGTTGACTTGAGATTTATTACTTCTAGAGTGTAGGAAGACAGTTTGGCCTAAAGAGGGCAGCCTCTCTTTATTCCACTTGCTGTGAATCTATTCATTTTTATGGCACTGAAGGTGCGAGTATTATGTTACATTCAATTGTAGATAAGCAAGCTGACTTGATTCATCATTATCTATGCAATTGTAACAAAAGGCCAACACCCAAAAATGATTTCCCTCTCTGTAACAATTCTGTTACTATACATATTACTCACGCTCTATAATGTTTGGCACCTGTATCTAAAACTGTGACCTCTTTGATTAAATTTATTCATTGACAGGTTAAAATCAAGATGAAGAGATATGCTTACACATAAGGACAAATCTTATTTTTGTAGTAATAGGAGTTTTTCTTTTAGGTGTTCATGTACAGTAACTCTGCTTGTATACACAGTGACTTATTACGCAACAGTTGGAATCTACAGTTGAACATATTTCTAGTTATTAAAAATCAGCTGATTTGAGTCCTCCAGAGTAATGCCTCATGCATAAGGGGTGAATGGCAGGAACATGAAAATAAGGAGGCAACTTTAGGGCACACACCACATTAACATTGGGACTAAACTGGGCACTAAACTGAACTAGACTAGAACCTTACCAGGACTAGAAGAGGTACAAGCCAAGTGCCCATTGGGACTCAATCAGGGCTCATACCTGGACAAAACCAGGACAACATTCTTAGTCACAAACATCATTTTAAGAGCATTTGTGAAATCTGTGTAATTCTTCGGTCATCAGGCAGGTTCCAATACAGAAGTTGTAAAAAGTCATTGCCTTATCTGAAGAGCCAGCTACAGTGAATTTCATAAATTGTATTTATGATGTAAGATCCAACTAATTTAGATGCTTTCCCTTCTTGACCCTGAAAAAGGGTCAAGAAGGGTGTGACAAGACATGAGTAATAATGAGTCTTTTGTTAAAATATTGCACACATATTGTAGTGTTAGGGCTCCAAAGAAAGCATCAATAATCAAATAATCAACTTTTACAGTAGATTCCTAGAACTATTTGATATAACCATAGACTAGACCCTGCATGTATTTCCTCAGCAAAGAAGTAGATAGTAGCTCTTCATATAAATAGTACACAGTTGTCTCTTGTTGATTAGAGAAGCATTTGCAGAATTTTAGATATTTCTTTGTGCCTTTCCTAGAGCAGAGTATATGGGATTTCCATGAATTGCCATGCTCATGTTTCCCATGGGCAGTTGGTATCAAAATAAATAGTAGATGGAATTTAACATTTTTAAAAAGGCTACATCATCTGCATGTTATTTGTTTTCCTACTTCTATCATCCAAGCCTTAAACATAATTAAAAATAAATTGTAACCACTTCAGACAAAGCTGCAGTTTTTGTAAATCACCATTAAATTTTAACTTTTTTCAAACAGGATCCTTGCTTCTATTCAACTATTTGGACAAAGTTTTATCCTAAAATTGTAACTTCTAACTCTGACATATTCCATTATCAAGAGATCATTTTAACAGTTTATTTACCCATCGTAGATTACTTTCATATGTTTACAGTTGATCAAAAGCTATCAATGTTTTGTGTTTTGATTATAAGTAATGATAATCTTTTTTCCCTCTCCCTCTCTCCTAAATATGCTATCATAAGAATGTTCTGATTGTCGAGGTAAGTCAAATATGGTTGTAATTTGTTTCCTTATTCAAATGTACATACTTTCAGTTTCTTATGAGAAAACTTTAAATGGCTACTCAGCTGACCTATATTTATATTTAGGACACATTGATTCTGACTTCAGTGTGTTTATAACCCATGACTAATCTCTCTTATCACAAATCAGACTGCTGTTTGTCTACATTGTTTCTTCCTCATTTTTCCAGGCCATAGTAGGCACTGGGAAGACTATGAAAACACTCTTAAAGCATGTAGAAGCTTTCAAGCCTAACATGATCAAAGTGGCAGGGTAAGTTATGGTTGGAGTTATTTAAACCTGCCTGGCTTTCTTTGTGAATCACTCCATTTAGTCTAGACAAAAGCAAAGATATGTTACAGTACAAAGGTTCTATTAAATTGCCCTATGACTACTCAGCACCTGAAAAGAACTTCCTGTTTCTGTATTTCAGACTGCTGGTCAAACGAGTCGCGCAGAATTCATCATGGCTTCCTGACTGTATGTATCATTGGGCCTAATCATGTACTTTATTTGTCAATGCCATTTTCAATTTAAGCAATAAAGGTGAATCATTAGCTTAAAAGTCATTTATCTTCTCTTTCAGATGTTGGTTTTGAAATTCCAAATCGTTTTGTAGTTGGATACGCCTTAGACTACAATGAATATTTCAGAGATCTTAATGTAAGTTTTGTTTTTGTTTTTTTTCTAAACAATTTAAAAACCTGACAGGATAAGAACATTCTCCAGAACTAAACCGAGCCTTCTTAAAGGTGCACTTTGCAACGTTTCTGGCAAAGGGTCCTCCACCTGGGTGACTTTGTTTAGATGGTGGTGCATTGCTTAGAATGTTCCACAGTATGGCATTAAAATTAAACATGTGTATCTCCATGGGTAAAGTGTAAAAATGCACATATATGTATTTTTGAGTATGCAGTTGAATAAAAGCAAAATAAAAGTTTCATGCTGTACTGTGGCACATTCCGCTTGAACTGTTAATTAGTGCATCTTTACGTTTGAATCATGACTGATGGTATAAACCAGCCCCGAACTATGCAACATTCTGAACAAAAAATAAAGCAGCAAAATCAAGTCTAAATCAGGAATACTGCCACTGTTTGAAAACGGCCAGTGCACAGATTTTTATTATTTCTTATTTTTGCCTTTCAGCACATTTGTGCCATTAGTGAGAGTGGAAAGTTGAAGTACAAGATTTAAAGCTAAGATGCTCTGAAGATGGGACTGCCACACAGATGTCATGTAGCAGCCAGGCCTGGACTCGCTTCACAAAATGCCACTGCCTTACAGCTGCTATCGAGACATTTGATCTCAAAGCATTTCTGTTTTGATTTAACATTCCTTTTGGCTTATGGTTCAACAATAGACATAGGACTTAAACTGGAATCTGACTAACTCCACAAGAGGTTTTATATTTTTAAATAGACCATTTTAGAAACACACTTTGGTGTCGATCCATAACTCAGGAAGTATTGTTTTATAAAGGTTGGTTTTACTCAAGATCCACTGTGCTACTGTGAAGGATTCCTGTTTACATGTTAGGTAATAAATTTCATATTTTACAGCTAATATGACTAAGTTGGTGTGTCTGTTTGTTTTAAATGTTATGTAAATGGCATTGTTCCAATTATAGAAACATGCTGTGCTTTTACTTTCTTCTCCATAGGGCTTTCACTGTATTAAATTTCCTCACTTATCAGATTGAATAACATCTCCAACCGTTATTGGGCCAAAATAGCATCAGGCAAAAACATTTAAACCTCATGTTACGATTCTTTAGTTTTAAAATGGGTTAACGGAAAAATGAACTTGTGGCGCAAACAAAGGATAGAGATGCTTGTTTAAAGCTGGAGTGCTCTTTGTATATACCTGACATATGACTCCCACACTCAAAGCAGGGAACGGAGACTACAAAAACAACAAAACCACTTTTCTCCCAAGAGAAGGCTAGGGATTACATTAAATTGACTGCATGACCTTTTACTGAAATTGACCATACAAAGATGCCATTATACAGAGCTAACTACAACTGTTTAGCCTATAGGCTACTTCTATGATTTAAGAGGTAGGTTTGAAGGGGGCTAGACTTATAAAATTAGACACTAACGGGGAAAATACATTTTTATCAGGCCTATACAGGTAGCCTAAAAATTAAGAAAGGTCAACAAGATTTAAGTTGAGTATTGCATAGGTGTAGTCACAATTAATAGACAGCCTATAATATAAAAGCTAAATAAAGCTTTTATAATACAAATTTTACTAATAGCCAACTGTTACAGCAACAATAAAATGGCCTACATTTCATCCTGAATGCCTGTTTTCAATAATTGACCCTATTTAACAAAAACTGAACTTATTTTAGTCAAACAGATTGTACAAGCCAGGACTGCTGTGAAAGCCATCTCAAACTGACCTCTGTAACAAAAGCTGCCAATCCCAGGAACAGGTGGCTCCTTATGTTGGAGAGGAATAAAAGAGACATTTGTCTAGGGCCCTGAGAAAATCTGTAGGCCCATCAGTCTATGGAGGCAAAGTGTATTTATAAAGAATTTAAGTACAAACCATGTAGGCTAAGACTATGAAGGATAGACCCATTCAAAATCACATCATTTATTTGGCTAATCATAATTTTGTGTTTATAATTCATGATTATAATGCAATTTAAGAATTTGTTCTTAATGTTTTGCCTGGTAAAATAAAGGTTAAACAAAATAAATAAATTTCATTTTCTCCATTAAGATTGCATTATTATTCCACATCACGTCATCCACCAACTCTAAATTTAGGATCTTGTAGTTTACGGACTTTTAAAGTGTTTATTGTTCAGAACCCACAGGAAAATGAAATACACGTAAAAGAAAAAGAGAGAGAGAGAGCTCTGTATCCATGATCCTTATAACTTGCCAGTAACCTTTATGTTCAGGTTATATGAGTTTTCCATACTTAGACTGCTGTTGTGGTCTGTGTGAGAATTGCCATCCATTGATACAAACACACTTCCACACAGCAGTCCGCATGCCAACTACTCGACCTCACTTTGAACTGAAACATGTGACATGTGTTCTGCCGTGTTGTTTACGAATGGAAAGCGAGCGGCACCGTGGACAGAAATGCTAATTAATCACGCATCTCGTCGCGCCCTCGATTTCACACAATTTCTACTCACTTGGGCAGAGCATTTGAAACACGACCGAAACAGACAAATACACCACCTTTTTAACTTAGCAGCGACTGGTTTGTAAGCTTGAATGTGATTGGTCCGCTCAAATAGAAGGCCGTTTGTGATTGGCTCAGAGCGTCCTGTTGACTGAAGGTGGACTCCCAGAGCGCAGGGATCGCTGGAAGCAAAAAATTCCTGCTCCAAAACTGCACCATGCGCCTCCCCTGAGTGGGTTTGGAGTAATCACCGGGAACTTTGTACGCGAATATATCTCCAGATTATCACGACGCCTGTTTGTCCTGGACTTTACGTGGAATTAGCCAACTTTTGTGGCCCTTTTCCATGGATAATTATTACCGATCGAGCCCCGAGTAATGACGCCTCCTAAACTACACAGGTAACTTTGTTTAAACTCCATTGGGGCTAGCATCAATGCTAACCACACTCGTAGTAGTAGCGCTTTCTCTCAACATAATTCCTATTTATATTAACTTTGTGGAATTTGTTGAACCTTTTAGGATAAAGTAAAAACTTTTACGGCTAGAGACTCTTTTTCGCTTTTAGTTCAATTTGTAGATTCTCATAAAGAAAGCTACTTTTGTTTGTCTTTTGAGAACAACAGCGCGATACTGGTTTGTATTCACCATCGATTTTAAACAAGAAGTATTCGGTTTATGGATTATAAAGCGTTGTACTTTGTCTATCTCTATCCAATCCATAGTGTTTTTCCCATTTCCTCGCTATTAATGTGTTTTAAGCGTGTAGTACTCAGTTTACAAACGTGACGGAGGTATATCGCCCTGCCTCCCTCTGTCTGTGTCCACTTGTTGCTTGCCATTCATTATGCAGTGTTGACTCTCCACGTTGCTGTTGATGACAAGCTCAAATTGTTGTTTTGTGAATAATGCAGTGACTATTGTTGAACCCAGTCAGCCCCGAGCGTTGTCATGTGTCTTAATTGGTTTTATTAAAAAATATAGTACTTTTTTAATATTAAAAAAGATAATACTTTTTTAATATGCTCCTTGTTTCACATACGTTTGATAACAGTAGCCAATCAATGTGTGAAACTTGTGAAGTAAAGGCGTTGTGCTTAGACCTGTTGCATAATATCCAAAATTAGGTACGAATGGTGTACTATTATGTTTTCTTGACCTGTTGTGGTAAACTCAGGGCGGTAGCTAAACAAGATTCACACAGTTCATGAATAGTATTTAGTTAAATGAACTTCTCCTTTTTTATTTTTCAGGGTTAAAAGACGAGTTTAAGTAAAATGAAAGAAGAACTCACGTTTTTTGCATCATATTGGAACTACCCTTTCAATGTGGCCCATCACAGATAACTGGATTTTAAGTCAAGTAAAGTAATGGCTTCACGCTGGCCTCATTCTTTTGAGGATGGCGACAGACCACAAGCAAGATCTTCGTTCTGCGAGGTAAGTTTACAATTTCTTATGTTTTTTAAGATTGTTTTTGGGGAGCTAGTTGATTTCATATTTTCAGGTTTGACCCCTTGTTTTTCAGTTTGGTTTGAGGGGGGTAGTGAGTTTTACCAGCTGCTCTCCTCACTTGTAAAAAAAAAAAAAAACACTTGTCAATGTTTTTCTCCAAATGTCTTTTTTTTTTTTTTTTTTTTTTTTTTTGTGGGAGGACAGTTTTGAACTGTCTAGAGAGATCTTTAAAAGACAAGCTATGGTTGGATAAGTATGTAATAAGATTTTGTCTCAAAGCGGTTTACTGGTTGTAGTGGGAGGAAGATTGAGTGGTTTGTTGTTAATTCGAACGTAATCTTTTTGCATTCAATTCTTGACCCTTGTTTTACCAGACGCCATCTGCTTTTCCATTAGTTAAATTTTAAGACCTTTACGCTCAGTAGCACCAATCAGTTTGAATCCAGTTTATACTATAAATTACAGTTTGTTTAATTTCTTTAATTTAATATTTCACATTACATTCTGTGTATTAATGATTAGTAAGTAAATTAAAAGAAATGACGCTGGCTTTGTCATATCTCACAAAGTTTGTATTAAATTATTTTTTTTATCTGTATTGAATTAACTTGAGAGAGTTGAGCCTAGTAGTCAGTTTTGGAGCTCTAATTGAATAGCCTCCAGCACAAAGGAATTGTTCATGTTATTTTAAAGGACAAATCCCTGTGTGTAGAAAAAACAAACCATTACTTTTTTACGTTTGAGCTGTTTTTTTGTTTTTAATTATTTGAAAGCAGCACCTCTTGTGAGAAACTGCCTGTTGTGAGGTTCAATCAGAGAGGACACCACCAGTGGAAAACCTTCTTTCAACAAACCTTATATTAGGGCGACCTCACAAACCAATTCATGTGTTAATTTAGAGCCGGAAACCCCCCAAAGCCTCTGCTCCTAAGATTTGCTGGAAATGATGACACTGGATGCAGGTCCCAGAAACTAAAGGAACTTGTGTGCATTCTCAGATATTAAAGGCAAAACTTTTGAAATACTACAATGAAAATCTTAGTGGCAAAGTGGCTAGCACTCAAGCTTCACAGCAAGAAGGTTTCAGGTTTGATCTCTGGGTTGCCCAGGCCTTTCTGTGTGGAGTTTGCATGTTCTCCCCGTGTCTGGGTGGGTTTTTCTCCGGGTACTCCGGTTTCCCCCACCAACCCAAAAACATGCACCATGTTTTTGCACCTATGCAACCTATTCCATAGGTACGTAAAAAATAAAAATAAAATCCTCCAGCTAAAGCCTAGCAACAAAATCATGGAAATAGGTCCCTCAGACGCCTCATGGAGCAGTGGGCAGCACATGGGCAGCAGGGCACTTTCCCTGCAATAAAGTACTACCAAAGAAAAAATCTGATGATAAATGGGTGTGTCTTGTTTCATTCAGAAAAAGCAGTGGCCTTTAAACATGTGTAAACAGAAAATGTCTGGAGATCTGAGTGAGTTCTCACTATATTTTGCTCAGTGGTAATTCATATTTTAGTATGAGAAAATGTAGGGTTAGCAGGTTAAGATCAAGTATCTCAAAACAAGTAGCAAGTTCTTCAAAAGACCTTTCTAGTGGTTTTGTTTACATTGCACTTTTCAAGCTGTTATCAGTGCAGTGGAGCATGGAGTTTCAATTGTACAGCTCAGTCCAATGTCAAATAGTGCCAGTCACTTTCCTTTGCTGGGATTTTTCTCCTATTATGCTTTGGCAGCTCTGCAACCTTTGATTTAAGGTCGGTCTAGTGTGTGTCTAGTCAGTAGTAATCAATTATTTTGTATTTTTGGTGGGGGGGGGGGGGGGGGGGGGGGGGGGGGGGGGGGTCCATATTCACTAATACATGAGCATATTGAAAAACAGACCCCAGTCCGTACAGTCTTGGTCTCATTAAAGCTGACTGCTCATCTCATTTGGACTGGCTGCTTTTCACAGAAGCCCTGCACA